AATCAGTTCCCTTTTTTAGCTACAAAGTACATATTCCCCTGAATTTCTTCTATACTCTGCTGAGAAGAACAACTGGAAAGCCTTTTTTTAGTCTGAAGAGGGAATTTATTGGAATGGATTAGCTCTTTCAAGCTGCTTCAACACAGACCTGCTTCTTTCTTCTTTCTTCTGCCCCCACGATCACACAGAGCGATTGTAAGGAGCGACCCGTTCACAAAATCTTTTTGATGACTTGAAATATTGCCTTTTCCAGCCTATTGGATGGTGGGGGAAAAGGAAAATGGATAGTGCGGGAAAAAGGGAAACCTGAAGAGAGAGAAGCCCTGCTGCTCTGGGAATGGGTGTTAGGCCATTTGAGAGAATTCAGCTGAAAATTCCATGATACTCCCAGATTTTTTCTGGAATCTTTTAAAAATTTCCATGGACTTACCATATAAAGGCACTAAATTTCTATACACGCATAATATAGCTCTCGTCTTTGTTTATTTAACCCTTAATGGTTGAAGCGTCTCCCCATACTCAGCAAGTACTCCTCCTCACTCTGCTGCTCGAGCCCATCAGAACTTGGGTTCAGCACTAGGCATTGAAACCTCCTAGCCTAGTCTGCGCACGTNAGAGAGAGAAGCCCTGCTGCTGTGGGAACGGGCGCTAGGCCATTTGAGAGAGAGAACTCTGCCGAAAATTCCATGATAGTCCAGTTTTTTTCTGGAATCTTTTAAAAATTTCCATGGACTTACCATATAAAGGCACTAAATTTCTATATACGCATAATATAGCTCTCGTCTTTGTTTATTAACCCTCAATGGTTGAAGCGTCTCCCCATACTCAGCAAGTGCTGCTCCTCACTCTGCTGCTCAAGCCCATCAGAGATTTGGTTCAGCACTAGGCATTGAATTTTCCTGGCCTAGTCTGTGCACGTCCCCATGTTCCAGGGCTTCAAGTTCCGGAGCAAGGAGGTTGAGGATGAGTTGCGGTCTGGTCAACCAACTGCTTTATTGACAGAATCTAAGCATTATCATGCATATACAATTGAGTAGTGTCTTTTTCCTAGTACTCCTATGGAGGCCTCCAGAACATACTAGAAAAAAGCCTGGTCCTTGTGAAAATTTGGGGAGGTACTATGACAGTCTCTTTCACGAATGGTCCGCATCACACTCTACCTTACGGTTCGGTCTGGTTTACGATCTTCAGACTTCAGCCAATGATTAAGCCAGTGTCAGCTGTTTCCCTCAGAAAGTAATGCTGTAAAATAACCAGACCACATTGGATGGAAGAATAATCTCGAGTCGTTAACTTCATGGCTCTACGTCAACACCGCCATTACACAAGCAGCTACCTGAAAAATTTATGTACTCTACTCACGTACTTTTTGTTGCTTCGGCGCTATCGTTTATTTCTTGGACGCTCAATGTAAACATCAAGGCAGTGCTCTCTTACTACATATAAATTCAGATTCCTAGAGTCACCTGGGAGGGAAATGGAAGCAAATCTCTCAACGAGTTTCTGGTAGCTGAGTTCAGTCAAACCACTCATTCTGATGAACTTTGAAAGCATTTAAGGAGCATCCTGTGAACCATCAGCACCTCCACTTTTCCTCCCTGAACATGTACTCTTAAGTCACTCAGGAGAGCAAAAAAAAGCTATGGGCTCGCACAGTCCTGCAAGAAGTGGTCTAAGAGGTCGTTTAGAGGGAGTACTGAGGCCTAAACTGTACGGAATAAAAGAATATGGAACAAATTATGATGATCTCATGATTATCATTCTAAGAACATAGCGACATCACACCCATAAGCTCCTCCTGCAGCTGCAGTTGCGAGAAGCCAGTGCAGAGAATGGGTACTGCTGTGAAAACGTGGAGGAAAACAGAAGGATCCGTAGACTTCCTCATAGCATTTTACCCAGTTGAAAATTCGCATTTTCTACTCCGAAATTAGCCGGATACCGATTTGTGTTAGAGACTAAGAGACAATTGTGAAGGAGATGCTCCTCCGGCAAGAGAGACAATGTGTGTCGCTCTCGTGGCCGTAGAAGAGGCTGGCTAGCCTTCAAAGAGCGCATTTCTATCGTGATCATCCTTGAAAATAGAGGTCTAAACGGTTAAAGAGAGATACCAAGCTGAAGGTGGGTGAGTGGTGTAATGTCAAGTGGTGTACTGTCACACACAAAGTTCGTGGATCGATCTCACTGAGGCCCCAAATGAGCTTTTCATACCTCCTGAGTCGGTTTGTTGATACTAGACTTGTCTGGAAGGGGGAGATTAGTGAAAACACTGACTTGTACATCGGCTGACCACCGCAACTCATTGTATAGGCCACATACGCTATCAAAAGCCCCTACGGTTCTGAAGGGATATCGAATGCGAGGGCGCATCGAGCAAGGAGGATCGATCAACGGCAAAAGAATTATAAGGCATTATCATTAAGCTGGAAAAAGTGATAAAAAGTAATAAGGTGAAATAGCGTCAAGCTTGCTGTACGTGAAATGATATCGATAGTCAATTAGCTTGCCAAACAGCCAACTTCATGATCATTCTTCATTCACACTCAATCTATCTTGCCCACTGTCTGGTCGGGGGTTCTTTGCTTCTTTCATTAGTTAGAGGTTTCTTCAAATGAGTGCTTTCTCACATTTATTTATCTCCAGAAAGAGTGCACCCATTGGCGTCACCCATGAAGCAGGAAAGTACCTCAGAGGATGTGAGCAACACTGGAAAGCCAAAAGAAAGTTTCGGGTCAGGAGAAAGTGGTTCTGCTGAGGAGGAAACTATGGAGAGTACTCAGGTGACTTTCCGATTGGAATGAGATCAGCAATTGTCTCACATTTTTCCAGTTCAGGACACATTTACAGTAAATAGCCGGGTTCCCAGATAGAGCTGAGGACAAGTCAGACTCTGAAATCTCGTGAGCGTGCGATACAGTAACCCCCTATTGCTCCACCAGGCAACTTGCTACTCTCCCAAGGTACCTTTCTGTTGCATCGTATATGTGGAGGGTGTTTGGAGGAGCTTAGAGGTGTCTCGGGCCACTGTACTATCATTTGCAGGACTTTAAAATCCGTCTTGTAAACTAAAACGGGATACTAAAACGATTGTACAATACCATTTGTTCCCATTGGTTCAGTTCTCAGTGCTCAGTTTCATCCCTTTGGGTTTCGTGTCAGTTGTGGTTCATAACGACCGCTGTGTCCATTCACGTTCAACTTTCCTTTCTACTTTCGTCTTTAAATTTTCTGCATAAATAAGTGAAGGAGATGAGGACGGCGTGCTTTCAAGATATTCTTTTTACATTGGGTAGATAGAGTAGCTTGAAATGAACTATGTCCGAAGTCCTGAAGGTTTGAAATTGAAGAATGGAATGGAAGTTAAGTGTTTCAAAAGGGAACTGACGGAGGCGTTGTCATTAGTTTTCTGTCAAGATAGACGTAATCGAATTCTTGGAGAACCTATACACAGATAGCCTCATTTAGCAGTGAATTTTGCTCTCTCATGAGAATTACGAGCTTGATGAAATTACCTCTTCGACGGGCACCTTTTACATATCCGCTATCTCATTTTGTCACGCCAGAAGTCCCAATTTCTGTTGCCATACCAGCCAACCCACTAAAATATGAAGCATGATGCAAATTGTAACATAGTAGCATCTGGTGGCCATCGCTGCTCTGATTTCTGTCGTGGAGCGGTATCACACACTTCGTTGAGCACTTTCTGCATCCACGCCCCACTTGGTTGGATGTTCTTCCCGAACTTCATAGAGGCATTCGACAAGTAACACACCCTCCAGCTAGCACACATAACAGCACACTGCATAACTTATAAGAGTATTCCACCACAACCGGGAAAGTCACAGTCAATTACGGACTGGAATCGGATGAGTGGTTGACCTGCCCAGTGTTCCTTTACAAGTGTGATTCTAGGGAAGACCAAGTGATTGTGCATAGAGGACTAGCTCGCAATGCCACATGAAGTGTGGAAGTATCGTATCATAGTGCCGAAGTGGGTCCTGTCAACATATGTCCTGAGTTCCCATTCCACCATTGTTTTCCTTGTCGGTAATTGTTCTACTGCGAAGAGAGCTTAGTCAGTAAGTTAGATTGTTAGTTCAATCATGCCCCAGAACGATATAAGCTGCTATGAAAATGATCGAATAATTGTGGTGTCCATATCGCTAATATCACACCAACGTACATACTTTCAGCATATTCCTGACGGTACTACTTCGGTTTGCGGGTGGCTTTTCAAGTTTATTAATTTATCATGATCATGGAAAACTTGCAGACTGACAACATACAGTCAACCATGTAGTACAATCCCGCAGGCTGGCATAATGGATAAAATTCTTGGTAACCAATCCCCTCCGTAGGATGTGTCCCGCCCTAGACTTTCACATCACAATCGTAGTGACGATTTCAATGCGTATGCAGTCTTTACAATAACTTCCGGTGGTCAGCCGACTCTGTACAAAGCTGTGCTTTTTCTCCTCTTGGTACCCGACTTCGGGATCCTCGAGAAAACGAATTGAAGGAATCTGAGATTTACTTCCTGTTCGGGTTGTTGTTCCATATCTCAAGGGACGAAATTCCGAAAAGTTATGTACGGCCTGGCTGTCGGATTGAAGCGGTTGCTGTAAAAAGTCTCGGTGAACATCAACCCGATGATGACTTCCTCACTGAAGGTTTAGAGCAAAAAAATAGTTTGCCTGAGTTGAAGAGTACAGTAAAATACACTGGCCAAGGCAAGATTGTAATACACAGGCTTGACTATCACAAACACCTCTTTCGACTCTTCTCAACTCGATCCCACTATTGGGGACCCGCTGGTGCTTGCTAAAAAAGGGCTCAAAGGGATGGCATGGGACAACGATTGACTAAAGTACACTTTGGCATGATGCTGGCAGTTGCATAGGAGTTCCCGCGCTCATAGTCGAAGGGCCTTATTATGCGATTCCTCTCCTGTCTTTCTCTTCACTAGCTGACTTGTTACCATCTACATCTTCTCTTTTGATATGCGTATAGTTCACCGTATTCATTTCTCCTATCCATTGTCAGTTCAGAATGTCTCTGGAGAACTGACCGGTACAGGAGTGGAACTACAGACGTTTTCGGATAAAGAATGGGAAAAGGGCGAAACAGCGCTATCAACCCAGCTCCTCAAAGCGAAGAAAGATAAGGTATTCCATGGTTATAGGTTCTGGTTATTTTAAGTGTGCAAATCAATGTCCTAGAAAGGTGTGAGTGTGTTCTCCGCTGGAACAGGACCACGACGAAAAGGCAGCTACAGTGCCGAGTCAGAAGAACGGAAAGGTACAGTGTTTCTGTTTTCATTAGGTGAAAAGTTACTCATCGGGCTACTTTCAACCGATTCAATCGATCTATCGGCGATATACAGAGCACCTGTAGACCCTGGCTCCTGATCTGGATACTTAGCGCTATTTTAGAGCTTCAACTCAAAGTCAATTTGATTGCTCAGTACGTTAGCGATGTTGCAAAGCTTCTTATGGATGATGTAATCGGCAGAGAAGGCGTCGAGGTAAGAGTACTCGTTCGGAATTCGTGGGCTCTAGTAGACCCAGTAAAGGGCCATACACCTTTGCATACTTTGAAAGGCTAACTTTGCAAATATGATTCTGGTTTCCTTTTTCGCCTTGATCGGTTATAATACATGGTCTATTGTATCTCATAAGGTTGGCAGGTTTGAGGAAGATTTCGACTTCAGACAGGGCTCGAACTTCTAGCTTTGCCTCCCTGTCGTCGTGCTCTATATCACTTGTTTTGGAATCCCGCTTATTATAAGAGCAGTCATCAATAACATTAAGTGATTTGAGGCTAGTGTGGTGTCTTCTACCCGAGAAGAGTGTCCTCACTTGCCTCTCTAGATTGCGTGCTGTGAAGGGAGGATCATGACTTTCTGATGGAAGGATACGAAAACACTATTGC